ATGGAAGGCTGTCAGCATTGACCAAAGCACTTCGAGGGCCATTTTTAATGGAAGACGCTCAAGACTGTCTCCTGTTCGCCTTGCCGTGCGGCATGGGGATAGCAATCCGGAGCGAGCGATAACACCCGAACGTGGTTATCTGCGAGGGGTTTTTGTTTGTTGGCAAATTTAAATACGTTTGATGCAGCAGTGCTGTGTCTTGAAATGCAAATCTCACGCCAAGTGCGTCACAGTCTACACGCGCTGTTTTAAATGCGCGCATTGCACGGTGAGATTAGCTGTGTGGTCTCGACTTTGCAAGCGAGAGGGGCCACGCGACAGAAATCGATTACCTCGTGCAGCATTAGCGGCTGCTCTTGTCAGAGGGAAAATACGAGGGCTTTTTTTTGGTCTTCTAATCGTGTGAAAAGCGCTGGAAGCGTTGTCTCCCCAATTAACAGTTTGTCGTAAGTAGAACATGAGCCCAGTTCTCGGTTTGTCTCCGCGTCACCCACATGGCTTTTTGTTGTTGAAGTGACTCAAGTTTTACACTTTCCCCTCTGCAGTTAAGTACTGGGGTGGGTGCCGCTTGTCCCTTTGTAAACAACATCGCAGCAAAGCTGATAACAAGGCAGTGGCAATTGTTGAAGAGCAAGCTGCAGGCATCCCATTAGGCTCTTCTAGTTGCTTATCCTAAACCCAAACAAATAGTGTTGGCAGACACATAGGGGTGCATTTATATTAATTGACGGCCCTCTATGTCAATCTGTCTGGTGTGTAGGTCGTGTTTTTTTACTTACTTCACCATGCTGGTTAGTGGGGGTTGGTAAATTAAGTTTTAGTGGGGGCCCTAGGGGCTGGTTAAGGCATTCCTCATCACCGATGTTCGCCAATCCTGGGGGAAAAAATCAGGATGTTGGTTTCTGAGTCCAATGCGATAACCACTGCACCACTGTCCCATCACACGTATATATATTTTAAACGTGAAGCCCCCTTTGTGATTCCACTGCTGGATGAAGGCCTCCACATGCCGTTTTGGTCGTGCGGGTTGTTTTCCCATACTTCACCGCTCTGTTCAGTGCAGGTTAGTGAATGGGGTGTTGGTGGAGGCAGGACTGGTTCATCGATAACTTTCCACAGCATAGAATTGGACCGTGACAATTAAAATTAACATGCCAATGTCCCTTATGAATAACTTTTTAATCAGTGTATATTACTATGGCATGGTTCATGGGGGCATGAATTTACATTAGAGAAAAAGTGTGCAAGGCAGCATGGTGCGGCATACTTTTAATGTAATTGACAGATTCGGGAACGTACACAGTTTAATGACATCATCCAAACTCTTAGGAACAGTTTGTGGGCTTGGGCAGGACACGTCGCTGGAAGGGATTATGAGCCACGGTGGCGAGATGTTGACTACCTCGCCCGGTACATCGGAAGTCGTGGATTCAATCCCGCCTGCTGTATATTTGGAGTTTGCGTGCTTCACGTCCCTTGGTCGCGTGGATTTTTCTCCGGGTCCTCCGATTTTTCCTTCCACATTTAGAAACACGCGTTGGCATTATTTGGCTGCTTTTCCACGTGATAAGACAATAAGTTGAGCTATCATTGTGGCCAGGTTGCTTCTGAAAAGCGCAGTGGGCCTTGCCTGCTGATATAAATATGGTTGTATCTATATTTGCTTTATTTGGTGACCTTGTAACGTTCTGAGCCGCCCCAACTGGACAAATGTGAAAAAAGGAGCTTTATAGCTCATCGGATTCCTCCGGTACAAATATTCTGATTCTGGCGAGACGTAGTGATGAGATCAGTCGTGACGCTCAGGTGCAGGATGGATTGTTGCATGGCGGGATCAAGGTGAAGGTTGCTTGCGAAAGCCTTCATCCAGCAGTGGAGTTATCATGGCTGACGATGATGAGTCTAGAATGTCAATAGCCAGCAGGTTCATCACTGAGTGTGCTCACGACTGCACCCAAACGCCGCCTATGATATCCATCCATACAGTATATAAAAGCCGTGTTAAAACAAAATAATAAATAAAAGGTTAGCTTTACACACAGTGCCCGCAACGCCTTTTTTTAACCACCACCATCATCATCGGGTAAAAAAGAAAAAAAAATCCCTCAAATTTTGAAATGTGGCCACTTGTGAAATTCACTTTTGAAACCCTTTTCGAAGGAGCTCAGCGCACAACCGCGCGATAAGCTGTCTCCATTTTCCTGTGCGGTCTTCGAGACAGAAAGTAGTGCCCCTGTGACGTCAGCACGTCAAGCGTGCTGGAGGTGGGGGGATGGGGTTACCCCATCCCACCCACCTCGCAAGCCATAACGTGGTATTCACGAATAGCATCGAGAAAACCAAAGTATATGGTATTCACGAAGCCTGCAGTCGTCATCGCTCACGAAAGCAATTTGCTGCTCAAATGGGCATTGAGATGGTGTTCAGCTCCTGTTTTTTTTTTGTTACAGCCCTGAGTGAACGTTGTGAATTACACATTTCTATGGCAGGGGCAGGTCTGGAATTAATTGTGGATTTCTCTGCTGTAGTAAAATATATTTTAAAAAAAGTGGTTTCCCCGCTCCATTTGAGCCATGGGGCTACGACACTCGTGTCCCCCGGTTACAGCGCTGAGCCATGTTATTGTGGTGGGGGCAAGTGTGTCCATAGGAAAAAAATGTGGTATCAATTTTATCGACCCGAAAGGGATGATGGGCTGAGGCAACCCCCAATCAGGATTTGAATTCGCAAGCATTACGATTGCGAGCCACTGGCTTTAGCCCGCGTAGCCACCTGGCCGGTTAGAGAGTCATTAGGAAAAAAAATAGAAACTATGTGAACCAGATACATTTCTATTGTTAATTTATTATTATCGCTTACTGTAGTTTGCAATTGTTATTTTTTACGCGGATTTTAGTTTTGGTTGGTAATTTAACTTTTTCTGTTGAAAATAAGATGTTCATACGGTTCGAGCGCAGTGTTCTTAACTATTCTTCAGATTCACATTTGAAACCATTGGGGGTTTGACAGCAGCACGATAATGATGGGGGGGGGGGGGGGTGTTTTCAGTGTTTGTGTTTTGCTGGGGGCCGCACTAAAGGCCACCAGGGGCTGCCAGTGGCCCGCGGGCCTTGCGATGAAGAACGCTGTTCTAGAAACTTCCAAAAAACATTCTCAGTGAATGTGTTTAGGAACGATTATCCCCTCGTGTAAAATACGTTGAGATGCTGTTACCTTCAGTCAAACTACAAGTGATCCCCTGCTCAAATCAACACTGAGGTGGCACTCAACTCCCGTTAACAGCCCTGAGCCAGTGGTGCAAACTCCACAGTCCTATGGCGGGCGCGGGTTTATCCATTAGAACGGTTGGCTACGTACGGTGTTAAAGAAGGTCAACATTCACACCACCACTTTTGACTTGTTGTCACGTAGTGACACTCATCAGATGCTGTATACATTTTTAATTGTGTATGTCTGTACAGAACGCTAGATTTGTTTTTATTGTCCAGCGCATTTATGCATGAATCATTCATGCAGAAAGGTGGATCCGTAGCGGTTTGCGGGGTCTGAGGCTTGGGAAACCCGACTTCAACTCGGTGGAGTTGACATAGCCTCAGTTGGCCAGAAGGTGGTAATGATTTCCAATACAGTATGCACATTGCATATTGATGTTTCTTAATTGTGCGACGCGTGTGCATTGGGGGCCACAAGTCAGCAGTGAATCCCGGTCAAATAAGCGTTGTGTTCAGTTCAATCACCAACGGTCGTGCCGTTAATCTATACGATTACATGTTGGGAAATACGACTGATATTGAGTCCTTATGTCATATGCTTTCATTGATATTAAATCAACGCACTAATTGCTGATGGGTGTGTGGGTGGTGGTGGTGGTGCAATGGTTAGGGCACTACGATGTGATCCGCGATTGCTACGTTTGGTTCCCAGCCACGGCTAACATCAGTGGTGAGCAATATCTGAATCCGTCTTGGGTGCCCCCATTCACTAAACCCGCACTGAGCAGTGTGGTGAAATATGGTCAAACAGCCCCCATGATCATCCAACAGCGGATGGACACATTTACGTGAATTATTTTTCAATGTTGATGAAACTGTCCATGGCAATGACGTCACATCTAAATGTTGGGTGATATGAATATGTGCGCATGTACAATCACTATTCGATGTTCAAACCCTGCTTATCTTCTGATATCTGACGAGAATAAGTGCAATATTGGTGAGCTGATAATGTGCATACCACTCATAACTAGATCATATCTCTAAATGTTGAGATGTCACTCACAGCTCAGTCATGTATGAAAGTGTGATATTAAACCACTGATAAATGGCTCGTATATCTCAATGTTGGGCCATAGTACAAATATCACGATGATGAATCGAGGTATTAGATTATGTAATTCATACCTTAATAATGTCTCTCAGTGCTAGGCCATATTACAGATAACACGATCAAGCACCTAGATACAGTATTAGATTGTACCATTGATAACTGGCTCATATTTATCACTGCTGGATTGTGTCTCTTTGCTAACTTCGGTCATGCACCTCCGATTAGCACGGCTGGCTACGTACGGTGCGAGAGAAGTCCAACATACACTCACGTATCAAGCGCTTGACAGGCGACAACGCCGACAACTGGGGTGGTCTCTCTAAATGTCGCCCATAATCGGCTCATCATAATAATAATAAACTCCCCGGTGCGACCGCGGGGGGCTACGCCACTTGAAACTCACTTTCCGCACTGACCCGAAAACCGACCGTGGTGGTGGTGGTGGGGGGTTGGGGCCCTCCGTGGCTGCTGCTTCTTCTTCTTTTTCCTCCTCCTCTCTTCGTCGTCGTCGTTGTTGTTGTCCCTGCGTGTGGTTGCCACGCCGCTGGTGCCATCTCGTGGCTGCGTGTGACCAAGCGCCCCCCCCCCTCTTCTCTCTCTCTCTCTCCGTGCCCCCCTCTCCCCGTCTCTCTCTCTCTCCCTTCACTCGGCTCGTGCGCGGGCGACCCGCAAAGATGGCAGCGAATGGAGTGGTGGTGGTGGTGGAGTTGAGGTGAGGTGAAGCGTTATTGGATTTTTTGTTGTTGCCTCGCCTGACCATCGCATGCAAACACGGTGTCGTTACCACCTCTCCCCCCCACACACACACACACCCGAGCCCTTCCCCTTTGCAGGTGCGTCGACTGAAACGTTCATTTAGATCGTTCGCTGAGGGGGGGGGAGGGTGCAGCATGGGGTTGCGCATTTCGTGTGCAGTCATTCACCCTGTTTTGTGATCACCAATTATTCTTCTTCTGCCACGGGAATGCAGTATTTTTTAGAAGCAGTATATATTTTTTAATCTGCCTCGAATATGGTCTGTCATTTTGATCACAAGAGTGAATTCGTTTGGCCCATTTTCACGTCGCTCGCTGCCGATATAATAAATCAGGTCGTGTGGCCGACCGTGGTTATAAAATTGCAGAAATTGCGTTGCGGCATTCGTAAAGTCTATTTTCATAAATAAAAAAACACAGCAATTGCTGACATTGACATTTTCAATAACGCATTCCAATTGCGTTCGTATGACTACATTCCATTGTGTATTACACAAGCTTCGAGGTTTTGTGTTTCCGTTCTTTTCAAAATTAAATTTTGACTGCTAGCATCACAATAAAAATGCATTCCAATGGTTTAAACATCAATGGTATGAATGCAATAATTAGTGTATAAATACCAGCCCATATCTTGTAGACCTGCTGTCACTGCGTGTATTTGATAACAGTAATGACAGTTGATTTCGTGTGCCCATAATGATTCATGTTTTTTTTATCTTTCTTAATTCAACACTGAAAACTAAAATGTGATCACCTGAGCATTAAGCACTTTTTGACATACATTGCATAGCTATTTAATAAATAAACAAACCATTGTACAACTTACTATTGTATGATAAAAAAATATATACAGGATATATAATTTTAAATTTGTATAGTGTATTCTTATAAACATGGTTATGATTATATTATGTAATATCATCATACTGCTTGAGGATTTGTACGCTGTTCGTTTTGTTTATCTGTAAACACATGTTTACTGCATTGATTCGTTTGACCCAGGCCTCCATTGAACTCGAGACAGTTGATATCAATGAGCCTTTGCCTGGCTCCGAAGTTATTTATTGTAGATATGGGAGGTGAAGAGGCATTGGAAGTGCCCTGCAGCGCACTGTGCAAATGAAACCGGCCGTTTGAGTTAAATTCCTGGCCACGGCTAACATCTTCCATCAACCTACAGCGACCAGCATGGTGAAGTATGGTCAAACAATCCCCCGTGATCAACACGGTGTGGGGAGACCATCCAGCAGTGTATTGACACGAATATAAATTATTCATTATGAATTCCATATTCATATACAGATTGGGGTGATATTGAAATTGACAACTTCTAGACCTGTACTTTATAATATACAGAGGAGTGGCTCAGATAAAACAAAAACGGATCATGAAAACCTTGTGTCAGGCTATTAAACGTGTGTGTCCGCACCTCCGACTTGCACGTTTGGCTATATACACTTCTGTGGCCGTCTGGAATGCACTTCCTTCCGATATTTGGAAGCCACTATGCACTTTTAAACTTAGATTGACAAACTAAATCTTGAGAACTGCTTTTTGTGTTTAGTTTGTTGTCCTTCCCCCGCACCTCTGATTACACGGTTGGCTACGTATGGTGCGAAAGAAGTTCAACATACATAAATACATATTGCCCACCTTCCGTAGAGTGTGGGCGAAGATGTAGAATGTTTGTATTGCCTCTTCTTAAGAGTGACAGGCTTACATTCCCGCTACGTGCTTGAGGTCACTTAGGACCTCGAGTCAATGACCCTTGAATAGTGAGGAAAAGTTCATCATTAATCAGCGCAGGTGTAAAGATGGTTTATTTTTTTTATCTTTTTGCAAGCATGGCTCATCGTACAACCCGGATAATCCACCTGCACAGCTCATCGTCAGTTAACTGGGTCATTAATTTTATATTTGTTCGCATTGTACAGATATTTTTTTCGCATTACCGGCAGCATCATGAAAAAATAACAGGTTTGACCCACACACACGTAGAAACGTCTTTGACTAACTGTAACGCTAAATTTAGATTTAAAGCTTTCGTGACTGCAAGGATTCATCTTCTTTGCTTCTTTCGGTAAGGTCACGTAGAATGAGAATAAAATAACACAATAAAAGTCTCACGACGTTTCGGCCACATCGCAAGCGGCCGTCTTCAGGTGAAAGGTACAGACCTGTCGGGACGACAGAGCTTCAATGTCGTCCGACAGGTCTGTACCTTTCACCTGAAGACGGCCGCTTGCGTTGTTTTATATATATTTTATTATTTTATTGTTTCCCTTCAACGTGACTTTACCGAAAGAACTAAGAATATGTAACGCGCTTATATTTTAAACTGAGAAACGAAAGGAGCTGCCACAGTGGTGTTACGATTAGCAGAAAACTGGACCTGCAATTCATTGACTTAGACCGCCGTGCCGTTTGTACATTGGCAACTTCTGTAGAGTGCAGGCGAAGATGGGAACATTGGCAAGTGCACACACACTTATCGGTTCCTGACTTTCGGAGCTGGTAATCGATTATGAATGCAGTTATAAGTTTACCGGATATCGTTTCACAACCCGAATGTTCGTATACAGATGTGGTCGCAAATTTGAAGTAGCAGTTCGTACACTGCACTAGAAATCCGGAGACATTAATTTGATTCCCAGCCGTTGCTAGCGATCAGTGGTAAGTGGTGTCTAAACCCATCCTGGGTCACACTCTATCTTCACCAACCCCTTATTGACCAGCGTGGTGAAGTATATCGAAGCAAGCTCCATGACGCGTATGGCATGGGGAGGCATATTTCGAACAGTGATCGACAAAGGGCTGGAAATTCCGAATAAATTGTCGAAACTGTCACTGATGTAAATGTTGGGTTACGTCGCTGATACGAGGTCATAGCTAAATGTTGGGCTAATCCAACTTAAAATTAAGTCGAATATCTAAGCGTTGTATTATATTGCCCACACTGGCTGATGCGGCTGTACGTTGTGTTACATCGCTGATGTACACGCACAGCCCTTTTGTCGACACGCTGCCGGAATAGGATCCCTCCCCTTGATAAAAAAAAAATCGCACGAACAAAGTGTTTCGTACTAACTCGCGCAACCCTGCACTTTGCAGCGAACCTCCCGCCAACTCCGGCCAGGCGAACGGCGACAAACTCTGCAAAGAAGTCGCGAGGAGCGAGAATAAAACCGCGGACGAAGAACCGGCGGCAACAGCGCCAGCAGCAGCAGCCGCACAAGCAGCGGCAGCAGTGGCGGCGGCGGCAGCGAAAGATTTGAGCCGCGCCGGCACCGCCGATGGCTCCATCGACGATGCCGCGGACCCCGGGAAGGGTTGCACGCCCGCCAAAGCGGACGACGAGTGTGACGTTCTCTTCCTGCGCGACGACGGCTCGGCGGCCGCCGCGATGATGATGGGCGGCGGCGGCGGCGGCGGCGGCGGCCGGGCGCTCGCCAACTCGGTGGACGCCGTAATCGAGAGCGTGGTCATGGGGACGGGCAGTGTGTCGGTGCACCCGAAGCGGAGGAGGCCCAGCCGGGGGCCTGCGCCACCGCTCTTCGACGACCCGTCGCTCCCCGACGGCTGGGTGAGGAAGCTCAAGCAGAGGAAGGCGGGCCGCTCCGCCGGGAAATACGACGTGTACATATTCAAGTGAGTGTCCGTGCCGGCCGCGCGGGCGACCCGACGGACGTGCGTCAACGTTGGCACACCCGGTGTTGGGCTAAGGGTTCCGGGCGCACGCTGACGTTAGCGTGTCTACTGGGTACGTCGTGCACGCTCGGCCTGCTTGTCGTTCCACCGCTGGATGAGGGGCGTGTGCAGGTCGTGCCGGGGGGTGCTCAACTGGCGATCAAGTCACCTCGAATCTTAACCCCGACCTCGTCAGACTATTGTGAAGCTAAGTGGGGCCATGCCTGCGTTTGTGCTGAATGAGGGGCTACCGTGCATGACAGGTGTAATAGGGTGCTGCGGTGCTACGCCGCAACACAGCAGGTGGGAATGCAGCAAAAGCAATTTCCCTGTGCGTCTACGCTCCCACGTTTGTGTTCCCTGCTGTCACCAAACCGCTCTGACTTGTGCGGTGAAGTGTGGTAAAATAACCCCCATTACCAGCACAGCATGGGGAGGGCCCTCATCCAGCAGTGGATTACGCCACAACAACCCCCCCCCCCCAACCTTCCGATCTCTATTTTTTAAAATGGGAAAGTTGGCAACCCTGGCAATGTGAGAGCAACTCCAGTGTGAGTTCCCATACCTGTTGCCACCTACGAGGTATACAAAAATGGGACATATCATGGGAAGAAGAAGAATATCTCCCAATGCCCCTAGAGGGGAGTGTATATGTTTGTGCAGCTGGCTGTTAATGCATTGTGGTGTAGAAACCGGGACTTTGTAGGACATCAACAGTGGATCATGGGACCTTCCCTTTGCCACTACCAAAATATGAGAATAGGTTTTCTCCTTTTTGTCTGGCAACAAAACAGGTGTTGAGATGTTAAAACACCAAACTGAAACCTTGTACAAGGAATCATGTCTGCAATAACCACAATACTTGTGGTCAGAATGCAAACAAAAACACACTCTGATTATATATTGGCATTGTCCTTGAAACTGATTGGTCCACACCAGAGACAGCTTTCTTTCGAGCCTAATCTCTGGTGTGGACAAATCAGTTTCAAAGACAATGTATATTTTATCAGAGTATTTTTTTTTTGTTTGCATTCTGACCACAAGTATTGTGGTTAATGCAGACATGATTCCTTGTCAAATGTTTCAGTTTGGTGTTTTAACACCTTAACACCTGTCTTGTTGCCAGAAAAAAAGAGGAAAACTAATTCTCATCAACAGTGGATGTTTTCCATAAAAGAAGTTTTTGAGTTAGGTTGCATAAGTATAAATGTGTTGTTTAACCCGCCACCACCCGACACGGCCAATTAGTAAGGTTTGTCACCTGAACAAAACATGCCAATGTGTTACCAGTACAGCACACCGGTGTGTTGTAGAGTAAACCAACAACATTTACAATTATGCATAAAGTGGATATTTTATGGAAAATTTACCAATGACATATGGATGTGGAATGGTCACAACTGGTTTAGAGCTGTGATCAGGAGTGATCAGGAGTTGAGCACTACCCTACACATGATTTAAAACCCATTTTTTATTCACGTATATAATCAACCTCTGTGTTTACATATATATTTTTAAATCATAGTTGCTGAGCACAGGTCCCAAATGCCCATAATACCAAATTAAATTTACAACAGATAAGGGGTTAACACACGATCTAACCCCCCCAAAAAACCCTCTATTATGGAGATAAGTGTTTATGCGTCTGTTGAATTGAACAATATTATGAAAATAAATGTGAAAATATATGATGGGAAGAGTGAAGAAGCGTCGTGACCCGCAGTGTGGTGACTAAACACCGTATGGACGAGGCAAAACAGCCAGTCTGGCAGACCAAGTCCCGGGAAGACTGAAAATTCATGAAAATCTGGAACAGGTGGTAATCCTAGCCCACACCGAGAAAGAAACGCTCACATTATCGCCGTGCACTTTCCTTGCAGCCCTGTGGGAAAGCAGTTTCGCTCCCACGCGGAGCTACGCGCCTACTTCAGCAAGACCGGAGAGACCACCCTGCAGCCCGAGGACTTCGACTTCACGGTGGCAGGACGAGGGGGCTCCGACGGCAAGGGAAACGGCTCCCTGGCGCGCCCCTTCACGTCCTCCAGCTGCTGGGGCCTGGGGCGGGGCAGAGGCCGCGGCAGAGGCCGGGGCAGGGGCAGGGGAAGGGGAAGGGGCAGGGGGCGAGGAGGTCGGGCGCTGACGGACGCCGTGGGCCACGGCTTCGCGAGGGGAAGGGGCAGGCCCCGTAACGACCAGCAGGGCGGCCCGTACGTGAAGAGCATCGTCGTGAAGCTGCCCTTCTCTCTGGCCGCCGTGGCGGCGGCGACGGAGCCAGGCCCGGCGGGATCGGCGGACACCGCCGCTGTCGTTCCAGTCAAACGGAAGCGTGGGCGGCCGAAGTTGAACAGGGATCCTTCGCCGACGCCCGTTCCGCCGCCAAAGAAGCCGAGGTTGGAGAACGCGGCGCCGGCCGAGGGCAAGCGGGCGGCGGACGGGAAGCCGATCGCGTCTTCCTCTGAGGTTTCTCTCAAAGCGGCGGCCGTCGCCGCTGCTGCTGCCACCGCGCAGGTCCCCGCGGCGGGAAAGCCTCAGGAGAGCAGGCCGCCCGGGACCAGGCCAGAGTCTGGCACGCACCCGAAGGTCAAGCTCAAGTTCTACAAACAGAGGTGCAAGAACAACTCGGCTGAGAAGGTCAAGAACAAGGAGGAGCCGAAGGTGCTGTCCATTTTAGTGAAGGAGCCTGCAACGGTCGACGAGAAGTCGCAGACGCCGCTGCCAGAGGAGAATAAAGTGTCGGCGTGCGCCGTCGTTAAAGAGCAGCCGACGCAGCCGACGGTTGTGGTGGCAGACAGCAGCTCATCAACATAACGACGAGCGCAGGGAGGGCAAGCGATGCGTGAGGCGACCGTGAGTGTCTGTGTTCGCCCGGCGAAACTTACTGGCTGCATTTTTTTTATCAAAACTTGTTCGTGGAAGGAAAAAAAAAACACGCAAACATCCACAAGGACGAGCTGGTGATCGGTGGCTGAACTTATCCCAGCTGAGTGTCATGAGTCGTGCGGTAGAGCACGTCGCTCTCGGCGGCACGCTCGCCACCGCGGTCCCAAAACAATTTGAACACGGCCTGGCAGATTTCCCACGTTGGGCTTGCTCCAGAGCACACTGACAAGAGTATACGTTACGACATCTTTACGTTGCTATAATCGGCCTATATGCCGCGTCGGGACTTGCATCTTAATAATTTCTTTTTACTCGTGAAGCTGTTTGGTTTCTTTCCCTGCGAAGCCGTTTCCATCGTTGTTTCTGCCGCTCATGAGTCACAGGGTGGCACGTTTTTTGGAAATGTCCGCGGGTGATGTAAAGTCATTGCCAGTGTAAAATATTGCTGGATGTGGGGGTTATCAGTGTTGAGGGGTCATTCCATGGTCGGCAGAGTTTTTCACATTTTTATTTCACAGCACCTGGCTTGAGCATTACCCTCCAGTTGGTTCAGGTGTTTGCAGTTGTCGGCATTTTAGTTATGCACAATGCCTGGCAATCACGTGGAATGTGCTGCCTACTCTTTCCACATTTAATAACCTTAATTAGTAAAAAAAAATGTTGTTGTTCTATTGTTCAAGTTCGGGATCGTGACATGATCCTCGGTATCCATTTTTCACGTGAGATCATGTAAATTGGTTTAATGCAGCCTTTTTTGGATCATGATCATTGCATAAAGAATAAAAAACAAAACACACAACCTCCAATTAAATGTATTTTAAAATAATGTACAGCTCCTGCGCCAATCCACTGCCCGATGAAAGCCTCCCCACGCCATGTTGGTCATGAGGATTGTTTTAACCATACTTCCCCATGCCGGCCAGTGCGGGCCGGTAAAGAAGGGTGGGTTGTGGGGCACCTGGGGCCAGTTCAGATGTCACTCGTTACACTGATGTGGCATGGAATTGAACTCAGGTCGCCGGGTTTCACGGTGCAGTGCATTCACCACCGTGCCACCGCTCCACACCAGCCCACGCCTCCTGTGGGCGAGTTACACATTTCGAACATTTTGTTGAGAACCAAACTTTAACTAACCTGGTTTTAGACGCGAAATTATGTTGTCATCGAATCGGCCGCGCTGAGCCGGTTTGGCGTCGAAGCCGCATGCTCACGCTTTTTGTGGTAGCCGTCCTGCACAAGCAGCGCCCTCCATCTCTCTCTCTCTAGACTCCGGCAAATTTTCCCCCAAGGAGAGTGAGTCGTGCGTTTTGTGAACGTTCAGCTTTCTTCCCATGCACGGCCATTCGGTATTGTACGGCGCTTCCCCCAACACCACCCCCCAGGTGCAGTGAAAGTTCCTGTGCAGTGCTCTCTTGTTCTCTGTTGAGGCGTCGGCCCACGTCCCTGGTCTTTATCAGAACGGTTCGTAGATGTACATAGAGTAGTATATTTTGTTGTAATGTCCCGAGGGGTAGGTAAATTTGTTTAAATTTTATTTACGTAAAGGCTGCACAGTACATACACACACTCACACACGTTTTGCAATAATGTATATCGTTAAAAGTTGCCTATATTTTTTATTTATTCAAACGGCCGCTGTAAGTTACTGTAGAAGGCTGCGCATAATCGAGAAACGGTATGGATTATTTATTTTCAAATATATTATATGTAAACTCAAATATAATAACGGGAGCGATAAAAAAACACATTGTATTTTTAGAAAGGCGTGCTCGCTGGGACTAATGTGGAACCTCTCGAAATGTTCCTCCAGCGCCCTCCCAAAAGGAAATTATTCTCATGATATTATTGTGAAAACAAAACGCCAGGCGTGAAGATCTACAGGCATAGAGCCGTAACTTCGTAGTCGGTGTGGTGACTGACGGGCGAGGGATTACACAACAAGGGGGGGGGGGAGACTTTCCATGGCTCCATGCTTCTCCGGCACACATTACATAATGACACACTGTTGTGTGATGTCTTTAAAATAACACCACTGCTGCACCAGCTGGCTTCATCAGAAACGCCAGGTGTAACATTCGGTTAGAAAAGGAATCCATCAACACCTTTGATCTAATCTAATTTTATATTTGTAGAGCGCATTCACTCAAGGCGCTTAACGTAGCTACAACAACAAAAACCCTGACAGAATGGAATGATTTAGATGGCAGGGGATGTGTGCAAGGGGTTGAGGAATGAGTGACCCCCGACAGAGGGCGTACTTAGGGATCACGAAAGGGTCGGGGAGTGGAGGGGGCGAGGGCACGGAAGATGAAGAAAATGGGCAATAGTGAAGGGCAGCTTTGGTGACACTGGCAGGCAGGGTCGGATTACGTTGGAGGAGGGCCTCGGGCTCTTAAAATAGTTTTTTTTGGGGGGGGGGGCCCTCTTTGTCACTCCAATTCCTTCCCCTGACTATTTTACCACCACCCACACCCGACACCAAAGGCTCCGTACTAATTAATTTAATTTAAATTCTAGTTCATAAAATGTGATATACGATCAATTAACGATAAATGTAAGTTGTTCAAAGGAACTAAACTTTAAAAATCGGCACAGCTGGTTAGTGATACACACGGTGATGTTATGGCTCTAATTTCGATGTTACTTAGAGGATTTATCATTATGTAGCCGTATTTATAAAATTCCGCAGGCCTCTCAATATCTGAGGCCCCTGGGCATGAATTAGCCACTCTCCTGAGAGTTCAGAAGTTTGGCCAGTCCATATCCAAGTGCGTTGCGACTCAAGTCCTTACGTACGTATGTTGTTTTCTGTATAGGTTAGCGTCGAGGTTATGCGTCAAATCCAAACACGTCCACATAGTGTAACGTGTCGTACGCATCTTTTGAACGCTACAATGTGTAAACTGCACTTGGCGAGTGAAGAAATTGAATCTGAACACTGCAGTTCACAGTATTGTTTTGCACAAACGCTTGCATGGGATCTGATAGCACCAACTCACACAAGCACTTTGATTATATCGTGTTCTGTGGATTATAAGATGCACTTTTTCCCCTTCACTGTATATTAAAGCGATTGTTGCAAGTGTATTTTCAAATCCAGCCAGGTGTGTGTGTGCTTGTGACGAAGTTTATGTAACGTTATTGACACCGGGCACAAGTTTGGGGTGCGTCTGTTCCGGAGCGTCTTACAATCTGAAAAATACGGTATTTATATGTATATAAAAATCAAATCAAAATATAACAGTTGAGGTAGGTAATTAAGATGGTCTGAGGAACAAAATGCAGAGCTGGGCAGGTCTGGAGGTGACGAGGTTCCACTCACCACCCCGCGATGTTGCTGTATTATTCCACCCTCTGTGTTTGCATGCTTCAGATGTTGTGTTTACTGAGCGTTAATGCCGACACTTAGCAACGAATGGGAGGGATTAGTCCCATAAGGTCGGTGAGACTTGCTTTTTTCAAAAGAACACTTGAGGCATGCAAATTGAGTGCAATTCCGCCAGGCGTTAATTTTTGTTTATAAAAACGATTGCGCTTCCTGCAAGCAATTTAATTGTAAACTGTTGAACCGCCTGGCTTATTGGCACAAGACCCTGGTGAAAGGTGAGGAATCACAGATTGACAATGGTTTGTCTTTTCATTCCTTGCATGGCAAGAGACTCAAAAGCACTACTACATATGCTAATACAAGCTATGTTCTATTAGATATTATTTTAGCACTGCTATCGATTACTCTACCGATGATCAGTTCAATTACTCGATGAATCAGATAACACAATCACCTCTTTTCCCATGTCTGCCACTGGACGGGAGGCGATGGGTAACGTCATTGGCCACATCGGCCACGCAACGCAGGCAGGATGTGGGGGTGGCCATCATTTTTAAAGTGGCCCGAAAAATCGACTACAAATAAAGTAGTTGATTTAAATATTTAGTCAACGCGTTGACTTAATCGACTAATCGTTCCAGCTCTAATTGGGGCAATCCAGGGAAGATTGTGTGATTTGAGCTAATATTGTTGTTGGGTGTTCAACTCTTGTCTTATGCTCTATGTTAATATCAATGAGAAAAGTTTTCCTGTTATATACTAATGACATTATCATAAGTTGCTCCTAAACCTGGTACATCTATATATATCCTTACATTGTACATCCAGTATAGATGTGGCCTCACCAGCTGTATGAGCTCATTGTACGAAAAGCTTATAATCAACGGTCTCTTTTCCATTGGCACATCTGCTCTCCACCAGGGCTGAGCTAAGCCAGTCCGGTGTGGGTGGTCAGGTTGGGCCAGATTTTTGCACCGCAGAAAATTAGCTGTGGCACTGACGTCACACGCAACGAGCCGACACGTATGTGGATGCATGGTCGGGTGCGACGGTGGCCAGATGTTAAATCCCTCGCCTGGTATACAGCAGATCGTGAGTTCGATCCCGAGCCCGACGCCTGATGTACGTTTGGAGGTTACGTGTCTCTCTCCCCGTGGTTGCGTGGTTTTTCCCTCCACATTTAGAAACATGCGTTGAGTGTTTGGCTGCTATACATTTCCATTGATAAAGCACTTTGTTGAGCTATCATTTGTGGCTCGGTCGCTTCTGAAAAAAGCTATGTAGGTCAGTGGGCCTCACCTGGTAAAATAAATATATAGTTTAATTTTATTTTTTTTTATTTTCGATGATGCGGTGACGCTGTGTCCTCACAGTGATATCAGACCCAATGGACACATCATTAGCCCCACCCAGGTTCTGCTTGGCCCCCAGCCAGATGAAGGGCGTTTTAGGAGGCCGACGTATCGTGGTTTGGTTCTGGCTCGGTATGGCAAATAAGCCAGGGGGAAAAAAAAATCACCCGTACCGTTATGGCCCCATGGTGGCTCGACTCCGATGTTCCAATGGAAAAAGAGTAAACTCGACTTGTGGCAGTGTGTGACTCGTCAGCGCTTGCAGGTAGATGATGAATTTGCTCGATTAGTGTAAACAATGTTACGTTTTTCTTCCGCGTCAATTGGACATGCATGAGCTTCTTTGCTTTGCGACTCCGGTGATGTCAGCATGGCTTCCTATCTTTTAAATGGAACCCGTTAAGCAGAGCACCTTGTTATTTATACAGTGGAATAGGTGTGCAATTATATGTTTACATATACAGTAACATGCTGCATGACGATAAACGTTTATTTTTGCAGTTTGGGGAAACAGTATATTACATATATATCATAGGGGGACATGAGGCAACATTTAAATTCTGCTCGGTCACAGGGCATGGTATATGAGAGATATATATAAATGTATAGATATTGTACTCTGTTACGAACGAGAGTTCGGCTTTCCACTTCAGTATACTGCATGCATTGTTGCCAACCTATTCACGGAAGTGATCTCAGCTTGTAGCATTGTAAATAAAAACACTTGGCTTTTTAGAACTCGTAAAACCAGTTTTGTTTAAGTAGGGTAACAATTCACCCTCTATCACTCCCGCCCCCCTCCACCCTCACTCGCATAGCAAATTGATAACATTTTCCTGATTCTCGTTGATGACTCGATCCATTTGAATGATCCGTGTTCACAGTTGGAATCAGGAATCGATGCATTTTTGCCATCGCAGGGCATATGGAATCTCATTACCAGAGCCGGCTGCGGGGGGGACACGTGACCCAACCACACATACAAACCGTAAATAAATAATTATTCTTGCACGCGCGGTTTAACGCGTGCGTCGTGACCACGAGAACCCATTTCAAGCTTCTCCATGGCCACTTTCACCTTCCACATCGAAATAAAAAAAAAAACGCACCGACCGGGCAAAATTGGTATCCACGTCGAGCGCTGGATTACACGGTACCCTACTGCCCGGCAAACTCGCCGTCCCCCGTGACCGAGAGCGCTGGCGGCGGAGTTGCGCACGTCATCGTTATCCTGGGGACCGGCACGCCGGCGAACTCTCCCGACTCGTGTAGAACCAGCTCCCCGCGCACGCCTCGTGACGGTCGCGCCGCCGGCAGCACGCGCCCCGCGGCCCCATTCGCGTTCTTGTCGGGACTTGGGCACCCGCTCGGGAGACGGCCTCTGTCGCGGGAATTCCCGTCCGCCCTCGGGGACGCCTCGCCCGCGCTGGCGGCGCCGCGAGCCACGCGAAGCGAGCGCGGGCGGCGCGTCCCCCCGGGCTGCCGACAGCCACCGTGCGCCCGGCAAGCCGGCGTGGCGTCGTCGAGATGACGCCTGGCGGGGGAGCACGGGCTGCACTGCCCACGCTCCGTCAATGTGTGCCGGGGACGCTGCTCGGCGGCGCCCTCGACGCGACCGCGCTGCCCTTCGGCCACGCCGCCCCACCGTTTGGCCGAGCCTTTGTCGCTCTTCAAGGAATGGGCCTTCCAGTCGAAGGACTTCTTCAGGGAGGATTTGAGGGGTTTTTTCACGGAGCGCCTCGCACGCACGTCAGCCCCGCACGTTGCCGTTCTTTCGTCCGTGCGTTCTGTAAGCGAGCCGTGGCCGCCCGTGGATTCCACTCGTGTTCCATTTGGCCTGGCCGCGTCGAGAGTGTCAAGGTCGGCGGAGGAGTTATGAGCAGGAATTGTGGCAGCGCTGGTTGTCAGGGGAGCTCTTCCCGAGGGCTCGTCGTTGCTCGGACCTGACCTCGCTGATATTTTGCGTGCCGTCATCTTCCTGGAGATGCTGGGTGAAGTGCTGTTGATGTGCATGTGGAAGCACGCGTCGTGGTTATCCGATACACATTTTGTCTTTTGACTGATGGTTTTCATTGCTATGGCTTGAAAACGTTCGCGAGGTGGCAACAGTTTGCCATTGCCTTTGGTAAAGTCTAAAATAGTTTTTGACTTAAGCAGCGCCTCCCGTTCATTGCCCGAGCACGCGTCTCGTCCTCCAGTCCCCCGGCGGTCTCCGGAATGCGACAGACTCCGTGCTCGGAAAAATCCCGCCCTTTAAAAGGCAGAGAGAGCATTTCAACATTCTCAATTATAAACAGATGTGAAAGTAATGTAGTGTGTAACTAAAAAATGCTACGGGACTGCATTTGCTAATTTGATTTGCACATGTAAAGTATTGACCCCTAATCCCATGTTACGTACAATGCAATTGCTCTGCCCTGGGCTATGGGCCAAGTTGTCTGAATGTTGTCGCTTGAGACTGGAGCTAATTGCTGTCTTAAAGGGGGTTCGACACCAACCAAATGTATTAGTGATCAGAACCATTCCGTAGCAGAACACCTTATCGGAGATGTTATCTCACAACGAGTAATGCAGCTCACAGATAATTTCTTGCTGGAGGCTGCACATGCTCCCATTGCATTGCAACAGCACTCTTCCATGTGTGGTGGCAAAAAGAAAGACAAACATCCCCCCGTGTAGCCTTAACAGGCTGTTGGGGCAAGTGCTGTTAGCGAGCCCCTATGAAGGCCGACAAGGCACACGAGGGGGTGGGTGGCCAGCACCACGCCCGGTTGCCTTCGTCTCCCTCGTGGTGATGTTTACACACCACACCAATTACTCATTTATGGCTGAGTCGATCTAGAGGAGGCCCACGACCGGTTCAAATAATCGTAACTGTTGTTGGCCATGAGCGGGAATTGAACTCAGGTCGCCGGGTTCGTAACGCAGCGCGCTAACTGCTGCGCTACCGCTCCCCACAGGTAGCACACACCTGTGGACAAGCACATTGGGGGCAATGGTTGGCAGACCCGCGAAGCCTTGCAAATTAACTCCCAAATCTCTGGGCAGCAACGTGGCCAGGAGATGGCAGTGCAGCATGTGAGTTCATGAACCCATCTGTGCAGACCTTTTGAGTGTTAATCTCTCATGCGGATAGCTTTTGACTCGGTATTGCGGTTTTGCTGCCACATGGAAAAAATAAAACACTGCCGGAAAGAAACCCGGCCAAACATACGGTGTTGTCAAGCCACTGCTGGATGAGGGCTTTTCCATGCCGTTTGGATCGTGGAGGCTATTTGACCATACTTTACTGAGCTGGCCAGTGTAGTTGGTGAAGGTGGATAGCATAGACATAGGAGCACAGAGGCATTCGTGTAACAATTTATTGTTCTGCACTGCCCTCTGCTGCCCACCACATAGCCCCACAGCGGTCTCTGGCACCTACATTGCGCACAGTGGTCACCCATTGAATGCACGATCCAGGCTCAAGCCTACTCAGCTTCAGATATCTAGCGAAATCAAACACATCCCGCACCGCGATGTATTTTGCTGCACTGACCTCCTTTGCTCCCCTGAGCCTTCAATATGTAATTGTTATTTTAGATGACATTGATATGGGCTGTGCTGCGTACGTTGCTTGAGAGTGAGCCCTGAACGCTGTGACAAATGTTATTCTCATGTGCAGAGCGGGTGGGAGAGTGTTGCCCTCAACTCTGTGGACCAGAGGTTACTTGAAGGAATCTCAGAGGTAGCTATGCGATATCCGCGTCTGTGGGCTGGCCTCTAACACAAAGGAGAGTGATGCGATTCTTAGTCTCACGATGTCACGTCAATTGCACAATCGGGATAGCGTTCGGGGAAAATTGACGAAAACATGTATATATATTTTAAAACAGCGAACCCTGAGTTCACCACGCACCATTACCTGCTGTAGGTTCCACAGGCCGATTTTTCCACTGGGACGGTGCTCGCAGCCGTAGCCCCAATGAGTGGCTCGATGGGAGGCAGCCGAACATGCGCGTGGACGCCTCTTCCGCTCACATGCAGACGCTGAGCCATTTGCCTCGAAAAAAATTAAACATTCAAATTTTAATTCACTTAACACCGCCATTGTACGCGTGTCTGCTCCGCACAATAGTCGTATCGACCGTAATTAGAGGATGCAATCAAAAATGCGTTTCATCGCATACGATCCATTTGTAGATGTCCCACTAAAATAATGAGGAAAATGTATTGTATAGGGAAAGTTACATTTTAAATCGAAGCTTCTCCACGTCTCCCACCGATCTCGATGCACATTTAAATCTTTAAACTATCCTCTTGTCAGACATGAAGCCACTTTCACAATATTCACTCAATTGTTGGGGAAGAGAGGCTCATTCAAAATCAGTGGGCAATTTATAAACGGATCACTTTAAATATACCGTTGTAAATATTGTAATTATGTAATTGTGTTATCCGCTTACCACTTTGCGTTGCCCAGCATTGTTGTTCCAGGATGCATTGTGCCCGCCTCTTGTCGCTACTCCTTCCCCTCTCGGCTGTGTGGACGAGTGACCTAGCGTGGCTCTAAGCAATTAGCTCGCCGGAGGCCCGTCAGGTCCAGCCCTCTTGCTGCACGCTTCTAATTTGCACTGTATTCTTCTTGCACATGCTTTCTGCCCCAAGGGAGGCACACAAGGGAGGCAACCAAGGGAGGCACACAAGGGAGGCAACCAAGGGAGGCAACCAAGGGAGGCACACAAGGGAGGCACACAAGGGAGGCACACAAGGGAGGCACACAAGGGAGGCACACAAGGGAGGCACACAAGGGAGGCGATTTTCGTCGCTGGCAACCAATCCAAGTGATAAGCTCAATACCCTCTCCCATCCCTTACCCTCCTCTGCCCTCTTCCCCAAAAATCCACCTACTTAGGTGAGATCAGGTTGATGTGGAATGTGCCAGGGAGAGCATCAGACTTTACCCCCTGCTGTGTTTGTTCAGTCCCCTGACTCTTGCTAGACCCAAACTCCTCCCTTCCCCCAAACAACTCCCCCCCCCACCACCGTCACCCCCCGGGGAGCCAAGGCTTGCCACAAGTGACCTCCCGCGAGGAGCCACACACGCAGCCTCTTAGCGGTGTGGCTTACAGTCAGTTTTGTTATGAAGAACTGCTGCCCGCTGTTTTTATTTAAAGGGCCAGGTTTGACGTGGTTGTGTGGCACTTTACCGGCTTGTTATCGTTTGCCAGTGGACCGTGAGTTTCGACCACGTTCCAGACTAGCCGAGCGGAGCCGTGCGCGGAAGCCGGAGCGGTGGCGGGAATCGCGAAGGTCCATCCTGCTGTACAATCGCCGCATGTGTGTGCTCGTCTTGTTGTGAGCCAGTTGCCAGAACTGCCTTTCCTACAAGGACCAAACAAGTAACGAGGATGCTTAACTTCAATGCAGAACGCAATGTTTATTGTCGGGTCGGCCTCATCGCACTTCCCATGCGTTTTATTTGCTGTGCGGTAATTTAAAAAAAGCATTACAAATGTTAATAAAAAAAAACCTGGTATTTGTTTTTTTACCAAGGCATAAATACCCACGTCGCATAAATATTCGATTACTTTGTAAACCCGATTGTGTTACATGTCTGGAAGGCACTCCTAAAAATAAAGTACTATACAATTGCAACGTTACTTTGCACCGCTTTATTCCCGCTGACATTTATTGCACAACCATCAGGGGTTTGGTTATGGCAAAATCAAACGTCGAGAGGCTTACACGCCTGTGGGGGAAACACACTCGTGTTTACAATACATTTAGCACTTTTTACAGAAAGCAAACACTCTGGCCTATTAAAGACGTTTACCAAAAATGTGCCATCAACTTCAGCTATTAAGTGCCTGTTGAGTTTTAGCAAAACAGAGACGACTTTATAACTGTTATCAAGAGGTTAATTCAAGCAGCCTGTTTCACAGGCAATTTCACAATGAACATCAAACATGGATTGTGTAATGCAGCAATGGCAAAATGCTTGAAGATTGTTTCAATGACTGCATATTTCCAGCTTTGACATATGGATCAGGAAACACGGATCATGAATAAACAAACAAACGAAAAGTGCTCACTTGAAATTACTCTGGGGTAATGCAAAGAAGAGCACATGGATCACGGAAAAAGTTCTGTAACAAATCTTATTGATTTAAAAAACGAAGTATGTTGGCTTGGGCAGGATGCATCGCAAGAAGGGATAACCGCTGATGAACAAGGCTGGCGATGGATTGGCAGCCCAAGGAGAGAACGTACCCGAGAGAATAACCTCTGCGGAGATGGAGCCCCATGAGATCCGTTCATCTGCAGGAGTGCAGTGGATTGCGGCATCACGGAATACCCAAGAGATTGCCAATGTATGGGAAGGCCTTCGTTTGGCCATATTTTAAACCATAACGAACAATGAATTTAAGTGACCGCATAAACTTAAACAAATTATCTCAAACAAACGTTGCACAACTTTGCATCAGCAGATCATCTGGCATGGTGAGTCCACTGCTGGATGGAGACCTCCCAAAGCCTCTACCACCTTTCACAATCTGGTAATGAATTAATCTCAAAATGAGTGAAGCAAAATATACACTTAGCAATATTTTTTAAAGACTTTTTCTTTAGTGCACGTATGAATACAGTGCGAATATACAGTAACGTAATGCATATATACGCAGTTATTTAACGCAACGTGGTAACGCACGCTCGTCAACGTGAGCGGCCGGCATTGTGGGGGGAGGCGTTCCGTCCCAAGCGGCTCAATGGGCTCTGCTGGCATCCTCGGCAGCCTGCAGCTCCCCGGGAGTCATGATCCCGAGCTTGCGCAGGGCGTAGAGGAGCTGGTCACGTGCGTTGCCGATGAAGCGGTTCCTCAGGAAGGTGGGCAGCCCGCCTCTCCCCCCGCGGAGGGTGTACAGAGGCACCCTCACCATCCCCAGCACCTGGAAGGCAATGCGCTCCCCTTTAATAATAAAGAAAAAAAAGTACCTTCCTTGCAATTGCAGCGGGAGCAAATGTAACCATAGTACTTCCTCTGTGTGACTAAATCTTCTGGAATGCACCCGTCTCGTCCGACCTGAGAAGCCAAGCTTAGTTAAATTCTGATTTGATGCTTGGATTGGGTGACCACCATGCACAAGGGGTTATTATAGGCTGCAGCACTAAGTGGTGTTCTCCACATTCACGGTCCTGCATTGGCCAGCGTGGTGAAGTATGGTCAAATAAACCCTTACGACCCACAAAGTGTTGCAGAGGCCCTCATCGTGCACTTCCTCGTCTCGCAACCTGGTAGCGAGCTGCAATCGCTAGCCACTCCACTACTTTCTTGGATATCTTTTAAAATGGAAACCCGAATAACGGAAGTTTTAATACATTGAATATACAGTCCTCTAAATTCACACACACACACACCAATGCTTTTTAATTAAACACATTGTCAGGATCCTCCATGGACTCACCCCCACCTATCTCACCCCTCTCATCTCAATATACTTATCTTAACATGCCTTCCACTCCAGCAACTAAGGCTGTCATTCAAACACCGTCAGTCAAAAACGTAAGTCAATCTTCTCTGCAGTTGTCTCGAATAGCATTCCCTTACTCTAACCATTTGCACTGCTGAGACCCTTCCTTCCCCTTTTCATATGACTGTATCTTCTGCGTGTAACTTTCTATTAAGTGTCTCCATAAAGTTATCTAAATTTCCAATTTGGCCCGTGCATTCTACCCCACATTCCCTGCTCTAAAAAAAAAACACCCTTACCCCTTCTTCAAACTTCACACTCTCTAGGTCTCTCGAGAGATGACAGGAGATGACAGCACTCTCCGGGAGATGACGGCACATCAGTGGTTTACATCTAACTGTGCTTTGCTGCGACTGATATATCCTGGTATGTGTGGATTTTCTCCAGGTAATCAAGTATCCTCCAACATGAAGGCAGTGTTTCATTAATTTTATTGTCCCAATGCAGGACCTTCCTGAATAAGAGTCGTAATACTCAGTGGGATTTCCCTGGATAAATAAGTAAAATAAGTACATACACATGTTATCCTCCTAAATTTACAGCGGCTTGGAATGTGGTTACATTTAAAAACGTTACCTATTTTTTTAAAATAAAGTTTTAATTACACGTTTAATGAAGAGGCCAGTGAGACTTAGAGGTGTGTAGGCCATGTGGCAGCAGTCAGGAACATACCTCTCCTCCATGGTCCCGCGCCTGTACGGCGCTCACCTCCAAGGCCTGCAGCTCGGCCAGCGTGAGCTTACGAGCGTACAGGTGGTTGACGATGGGCCGCGGGTGCTGGCAGACGTGCGAACACAGGTAGTCTGCCTCCGTGAGCCGCACGTTGCAGCCCATCTCCTCCTGCAGCTCACGGTTGAGGCCGTCCTCCAGGCATGCCTCCCCTGGGTCCAAGAAGCCGCCGGGGAAGCCCAGGGTCCCGTCAAAGCGCATCTGCATCTGGAGTTATAATTGTAAAATATGATAATTAAGAGTACGATGTGGTGCAGTGTGTACGTGCGGGGCCCTCTAAAGTGCCAGTGTCATGGCTTAAACTGCAAAATAGCAGATGGGGAGAGGGCCAGGGAGAGGAAAAAATACATTGGGGACATGTTATTAGATCTAAATAAACTCACATTTAACATACCTAGCTCCTCTACAGACACAGAACTTGGATAATCACGGACTCTTAAATGGTCAGTAATTTAATTGCACGTGAGTTGCTGTGGGTGTAGAGCTATACTTTAATTGCTTTGACTAAAAGGCAGAGTAAGACAAAGACGCTGTTCATAAGAACTGACCTGGCCTCATTCATTACGGGTGACTGATGAATGGGTCTTGCCAATGAAAGGTAGACCTGCTTGGCACATCAATATATTGTCCATGAGGAGACCTGGCTCACAACGCGTGGCCCATGGCCATGTGTCAGGCATCAAAGTGGTAATAGATGCATCCCCCATGAAGGGTGGCAACATGGTTGGGTTTTACCAATTGAAAAAGGCTGAATATGCCAGCCATCAATATGGCCCTGCCTGGCTCATTAAGTAACATTGGGCCCATTAGAGTAAATCCTTTGCCAACTTTTGCCCATGGCGTTTTCTATGGCTATGTATCACCCATTATCGGAGCCAAATTACATTGACGAGAATTTCACCAATAATTCATTTATTCTGTCCATGTTTCACATATAATATATTCCACAGCCAGATTTCACCAAAGTGAGGTGTTCCATGGATAAATCCGTCCATGATATTGGCCCCAATGGTCAGACATTGCCCAAAAGCATTTCCCGATGGCCAGGATGTAGCTGATTAGTGTCCATACAGTATTGCTGTGCTTTGCCTATGAGGCTTTTACTCAAGTGACATGGCAAAAAAGTTAATTAAAGGTGGAAAGTGGTAAATATTGAAGGCAAAATTTATGAGCGTTAAAACGTTTTGAGAAAGGTCATAAGCAACTGTAAAAAAAGAGTTGATTTAAGGGAATTCCAAAGTGGAGGATGGGGAAAGAAGCAGAAATAGAAGTATACAGGTATTGTTACCCACAGTATGGTAGGTGAATACAAGTCTGGGTGGTTCGAGTCCTGAAACATGGGTGGCGGAATCAGCAAGTGAAATTCATGGAACAGAAACCATGATAGTAGCGATAGAGTGATAATGTAACTGCCCATTTCATCATGGGACCTCCCCTTTGCCAGGACCAAAATATGAGAATAGGTTTTCCCCTTTTTTTTCTGGCAACAAAACAGGTGTTGAGATGTTAAAACACCAAACTGAAACCTTTTACGATGACTCATGTCTGCATTAACCACAATACTTGTGGTCAGAATTCAAACAAAAAAATACACTGATAATATATGGCATTGTCTTTGAAACTGATTGGTCCACACTAGAAACAGCTTTTTTTAGCCTAGTCTCAAAACGGTGTTAGACCAGAGGACACCAAAAGGCGTACAGCAGTTGTTCTGATAATGAAATATAATTATGACCTTTGGTAATATTAAATACATGTATTGTGGTTGCAAATAACGTGAATAACATGGTGCATATCTACCGCCATCTGCTGGTTCAAAGTGGAATGTTTGTGCACGACAATTTCAGAACTGTTTTCTTTCCAAGAAGCACCATTTAATAAACCACTCCACACAAGGCTTCATTTTTCTGTGGCATTTTTCGGAGACCCCTTAAACCCCAAACACCCCGTATCCCGACCCCCTCAACAGCAAGGGACACACGTTAGACCATCGATTATCAGGTGGAAGGGGATGCCGGGTTTTCAAAAACGCCGGATAATCACTAAATCATTATTTAAAATAACTTGTTTGCACATTATTGCGTAACATTGTGTTGTAGATGTTGTGTATGCTGTTTTTTTTGGAGCGTGTTAACTGTGTTTACTATATCAAATTGGCATAAGCTATACATCCAAATAGACATCATGGGACCTCCTTTGCCAGTACCAAAATATGAGAATAGGTTTACCCCTTTTTTCTGACAACAAAACAGGTGTTGAGATGTTAAAACACCAAACTGAAACATTTGACAAGGAATCATGTCTGCATTAACCACAATACTTGTGGTCAGAATGCAAACAAAAAACAATCTGATAATATATGAATTGTCCTTGAAACTGATTGGTCCACACCAGAGACAGCTTTCTTTGGAACCGAGTCTCAAAAGGTGTTAGACTAGAGACCAGAGGACACCCAAAGGCGTACGTACGCCTTTTGGCGTCCTCTGGTCGAACACCGTTTGAGACTAGGCTCCAAAGAAAGCGGTCTCTGGTGTGCACCAATCAGTTTCAAAGACAACGCATATATAATCAGAGTATGTTTTTTGTTTGCATTCTGACCACAAGTATTGTGGTTAATGCAGACATGATTCCTTGTAAAGGGTTTCAGTTTGGTGTTTTAACATCTTAACACCGGTTTTGTTGCCATAAAAAAGGGGAAAACCTATTCTCATAACTGCCCATTGTCATGATTCTGCCCTGCGTTCAGACCTTGCTCACGAATGTGACCACGAATCCATGAATGTGTCCGTGGCCATGGACCATACAAGTATCCAAATTGTCATTAAGTGTCCCCATTGCCTCGCCATCAAAGTGTCCCAATTGCCAGGGGTCGGCAACCAAAATAACAAAAAGGGTTTTTTTTTCGAATCCGGTAAAATCAATATATTTCCAGAGCCGCAATGCATGTGAATACGTGACGGTCTTTCATAAATAACGTCACGAAGCTGTCCTTAAAGAGCCGCAGGTTACCGACTCCTGCCCTTGGCGCTGTCTCGCCATGAAAGTGTCCCCGTGGACCATGAGTCCCCCGTGTTTATACCGCACGTGTCCTCGTGGCCATGGGATTGGCCCGTGTTCTCATGAGCCACAAGTGTCGCCGCAGCCATTAAAGTGCCCCTGTTTCAGTTTCATTTATTATATAGCCCCTGTGAGCCATGCGGCTCTTGACTCGGGTGCAACCGCAACAAACAAAAACATGAACAAGAAACATCTTAAAGTGACTACGCGCAACAGAAAAATCCAGGAATAAACAGCAAAGTCTTCCAGAAAAAAACACCGTATATCAACGCTGTGTGCAAAAATCCCAGTGGGATGCAAGTCAAACAATAACAACCATGACAATTTAGATTAAAGTTATCAGGCTAATTCCGTACTACAACAAGCATACATGGCTAAACCAAAAAGTTTTCAAACTCACCAAACTAAAGCTACAAAAACAATGTAACAGTGATCATAGGAACTGTGATTC